CTCATGTTAACTTACATCTTAACTCTGTCTGTAAACAGGTACAGGGAGTTAGGACTTCATCATAGCTATTGGGGGGGCACAGTTCGACGCACAACAAAGCTACTTTTATTCTTACCCATGCGGTATGTTTACACACATGTTTCCCATGATTGCCAATAGAACTGACCTTGTTTATAGATTTCCATGTGTATTTCCCCACGTAATTGACACTGATACATACTAGTTTTTATTTCCTTCATAGGCCTTAATTTACCATTTTTTTGGTAAACCAGTGAGATTGTGTTTGTTGTTATATTAAAATATCAATGACATATCTATTAATGTGACAAACATTTGAAGCCATAACAACTGTTTATGTAATATGGACTTTGGCTTGTAATTTTGCTTTTTTAATTGCTTTTCTAGGTGTCAGGGCTATGTTAGTGTTATTAAAATGAAGGTTGGTGCCCTGGCTGGTGTAGCTCAGTGGATTGAGCACAGGCTGTGAACCAAAGGGTCGCTGGTTCGATTCCTAGTCAGGGCACATGCCTGGGTTGCGGGCCAGGTCCCCAGTGGGGGCCATGTGAGAGGCAACCACACAGTGATGTTTCTCTCCCACTCTCTCTCCTTCCCTTCCCCTCTCTCTAAAAATAAATAAATAAATAATATTTAAAATGAGGGTAGGGAGTAAAGTATTATATATTCAATGTTAATATGTTTTTTAAATATTTGCTTTAAAATTTAGAAAACCATCTGGGTTTGGTGTGCCTCTTTCCCTCCCTCTTTCCCTCCTTCCCCCCTCGCTCCCTTCCTTCCAGTCTTTTTATTCAAGAATAAGTCACAGAATGGCTAGTGTTTAAAAGACAACAAAGGATGTGTTGGCAAGGACGTGGAAGAGAAGCAACCCTCGTGCACTGTCGGTGGCGTTGTGAACTGGTGTGGCCCCTGTGGAAAACAGCATGGAGAGTCCTCAAAAATTAAAATTGTACACCTGAAACTAAAATAATATTGTATATCAACTGTAATTTAAAAAGAAAAAAGAATAAATTAAAAATAGAACTACTATACACCCAGCAATCCTACTTCTGGGTATTTATCTAAAGACAGTACTGCCCGGCTGGTGTGGCTCAGTGGATTGAGCACAGGCCTGTGAGCCAGAAGGTTGCCGGTTTGATTCCCGGTCAGGGCACCTGCCGGGGTTGCAGACCAGGTCCTCAGCTGGGGCCATGTGAGAGGCAACCAGTCAGTTTACTGATATCTCCTGCGCATCAGTATTTTTTTCCCTTCCTTTCTTTCTCCCTCCCTCCCCCTCTCTCCACAAATAAATATATAAATGAAATCTTAAAGAAATCGGAAGCACTAATTTGAAAACCAGTGTTCATTGTAGCATTATGTACAATAGCCAAGATGTGGACCTAAGTGTTCCATCAGTAGATGAATGGATAAAGAATATATGCTATATGTACACAATGGGATAGTATTATACTTGGCCATAAAAAAATGAATGAGCCCTGGCTGGTGTAGCTCAGTGGATTGAGCGTGGGCCTGCCAACCAGACAGTTGCAGTTCAATTCCCAGTCAGGGCACATGCCTGGGTTGCAGGCCGGTTCCCTGCAGGCCAGTTCCCAGCAGGGGATGCACAAAAGGCAACCATACATTGATATTTCTCTCCCTCTCTCCTTCCCTTCCCCTCTAAAGATAAATAAATAAAATATTTTAAAAAAATGAATGAAATCTTGCCATTTGCAACAACGTGGATGGACTTAGTATTATGCTAAGTGAAATAAGTCAGACAAATACTATATGACTTTGTATATGTGAAACCTAAAAAGCAAAACAAACACAGCAAAACAGAAACAAACTCATAGATGCAGAGAACAAATTGATGGTTGCCAGATGGTAGCCAGGCAGCAGAAGGATTAGGAAGTACAAACTGCCTGTGATTGAAGTTGGTCACGGGCATATAAAGTGCTGCACCGAGAATATAGTCAGTTGTGTAGTTTTAACTGTATGGCCCCAAGATTTGAGTGCAACTAGGTATGTTCTTACCATTGGGGAGTGAAGGTGGTCACTGCTCAGAGGCCCTCTCAGTAGGCAGATCTACAGAGCTAGAGATCATGTTTGTGCATGCTTGTGTTTACACATGTGTATGCACACCTCACATATATGTTCATATCTTAAAATTTATATTAGTTCATTCATACCTGCCATTTCCATCCACAGGGTTCATTCCAACCTTCTTCCTTTCCGTATTTGCATCTTCCTGCTTTTGCAGAAAGAACCCTGGGTGCAGTGGTCTTTCATAGATTTTCTTACTTGATGAATCCTCCTGTGCATGCCAAGTCCATTGCTGCCTCGAACCCTGCCTGGTACAGCCGCCCCCTCACACTGCTCAGACTCTCACTCCCTCTGCCAGTTGCCCCGCCTCATGGATGCCCTGCTGCTGACCCCTGCAGTTCTCACATCCCCGCCAAGCCTGCCCTTGTGTGGGTGGGGTGGGCTCCCCAGCATCCAACTCCGACTCTGACTCCACCTTCATCTCCACCTCCACCACCAGGCTGCCCTGTGTGGACCCGGCCATGCTTTGCGCCCCCCAGTGGCTATAGGACCAGAATCTTCAGAAGGAGAGAGGGCTTCTCTGGAATTTTAAGTTTCACTTTACGGTTTCTAGCTGTGGAATTATCTTTTTAAAAAAATGTTCTTTGTGTCCTTTTAGTTTGAGGTCTTGCATTTTCTCTAATTCTGGGAAGTTTACAGAAATTTATGTCTGGAAATATTCATCACCTTCAAGTATTTTTTCCTCTCTTTCTATAAATACACTGTTGTGTGGGTGCGGATTTCCTTCATTTCTCTGTTCCTTATGTCTTCATTTTTCTGTTACATGTTTTATGTCTTCCTACTGTCTTTTGGCAGAGAGCCTTAAACCCAGCATTTTAGCTTATTAATTTGTTCAATTATGTCCTTTCTTCTTCAATCCATTCATCTATTAAGTTTATTTCAGTGATTGTATTTTACATACTCTGTATTTTATTTGCTTCATTATGATGTTTCTTCCTGCTTTATTTCTAGTGTCCTTCCTTATTGAATTTGTTTATTTTATTTTATTTTTTGGCTTGTAATCCCAATCAATTTGATACGTGATGCCTCCCATACGATTTATCCCCCTGCACCCTTTTCCACCTCCACCGACCCCCAACAGTCACCACAGTGTTGTCCATGTCCATGAGGGTCTTTCTTTCTTTTTTTTTTGCTTGATCCTCCCCAGCTGTCCTCCAGAGCCGTCAGCCTCAATTTGTTTAAATTTTTATTTTCTGTTTCTTCTGAGAGCTCCTATAGCCTGGAGATCTCAGCCACCGTGGCTCATGAGGTCCATGGAGCTGGGTGGACAAGGCTGCTGCCCAGTGTGTGCCTAACTGTGCCTGTCCGGGGTCACGGGGGGAGGTTGGTGGTGGGAGGGAGGAGAGGCCACACCCAGGGTCATTAGAGTGAAACCCCTTCCCAGACTCAGCACTTTTCAAGATCTGCTTTTTCTCTTAAAAACCGTAGTCCACAGGATTTGGAAGGAGGTGGTGGGAAGAGGGGACTTTGGGCTTGCCGTGAGCACCCAGTGCCGTCTGGGCCACTGCCACCCGTAGGCTTGTCACCCTGTGACCCCTGACAGCTCCAGGCTTGCTGACAGTCCCCCTGTGTTGCAACAGCAGTGGCCTGTACCGGGCAGTGCTGGAGAGAAAAATATTTGCCAAAGCAACTGCACCACACCCTAACTGCCATCCCCGGTGCCCAGCCCTGGGCTGCTCTGCCTTGCTGTTCACCCTGCACTGGGGCCAGATGCCCCTGTGTCGTCCCAGGGACTTCCATGCATGTGTGAACACGAATGTTTTGTTGTCACTTAGCGTGGGTTCACTACATGTACTGTCCAGCGACTTGTTTTTAAAATGGCTGATTACCATGTCTGACCATACATGAAAAGAGTTTGGGTTCAGTAAAATACAGCTTTAAAATATACCTCCCTGTGTGGCTGTGATTTTTATACCCCTTTTATACCAAGATGTGCCCGTATCATTGCCTTACCATCTAAATCTAATCATGAGTTAGCGATATGGTAGAGAGTAGTCATTAGTATCCCATGAAGTACTTGACTATTTCCCTTCGTGGTTCTTTTAGGTTGGTATCAGTTTTTTTTTTTGTTTTTTTTTTAATATTTTCTTTATTTATTTTTCGAGAGAGGGGAAGGGAAGGAGAAAGAGTGGGAGAGAAACATCAATGTGTGGTTGCCTCTCATGCGTCCCCTGCCGGGAACTGGCCTGCAACCCAGGCATGTGCCCTGACTGGGAATCGAACCGCGATACTCTGGTTCGCAGGCCCGCGCTCAATCCACTGAGCTACGCCAGCCAGGGCTTCAGTTTTTAAATATTATGATACTGAAATAAAATCTTTATTGGTAACGTGTTTTCCATTTGTAGGGTTATTTTCCTAGACAGATTTATAGAATGGGTCAGATAGATAACTAGGTCAGAAGATCAACGTTTTTCATTCTTAACCAAGTAAAGCAGGACCTGGAACATAATAGTCATTTAAGTAATATTTATTGCATTAAAGACTATTCTAAAAATTGCTTTCCAATATGGATGTACCAGTTTTCAGTCCCATCAACAACATGAGGTTTCTGTTCTCCCACACCATCTTACACTTAAATTATTTTTATTATTATTATTTATTTTTATAGAGAGGGGAAGGAAAGGAGAAAGAGAAACACCAGTGTGTGGTTGCTTCTTGCACGCCCTCTACTGGGGACCTGGCCTGCAACCCAGGAATGTGCCCTGACTGGGAATCAGCCCTTTGGTTTGATGCCAGCACTCAATCCACTGAGCCACACCAGCCAGGGCACACTTAAATTAATGGTTTGTTTGTAATCAGAAGAATTCTCTATCTTGAAAAAAATGCTATCAAGATGATATAACTAAGGTCTGTTTCTCTCTTTTTTTCACCTACTTGGTAAATGGACACATGTTTTCTTACAGGACTGAATTTGCTCTTAAAGAAATCATGTCCTCTGGAGGTGCTGAAGATGACATCCCGCAGGGAGAGAGGAAAACAGTTACAGATTTTTGTTACCTTCTGGATAAGTCTAAACAACTGTTCAATGGGTTAAGGTTAGTGGACTCTTGCTATCTAAACGTTCTCTCGTTCTGTGTGTTTTTTCCCATGTCCAATATGTAGTAACTCCAAATGTTATGGATGGAATGTTACATAAATTTCTTCATTCTCAGATGAAAAACAATAGGAAAAGAGGATTGTTTTTACTCAAGGAGAACTCTTTTGTTTGATGGTTTTATGGATATTAGTCCACACTATATCCTATTTACACCTGATTTTATGCATTGGGGTACTGAGGGCAAAGGAGCCTGCAAATGCACAGTGCAGGCAAGTGTGGTCCTCGCTCCTGCTGCCGTCTTTACACTTCTTTGCTTGTTTCTTTGTTTCTTCTTTTTCTTAGGATGCAGTATCTGTTGACTAAAGCAATGACAGAGTGTTTTAGACAGTGTTATTTTTATTTTAGTTGTACATGCCCTGAATGGACTGGTAGCAGAAACTATATACACGTTTGTCCAAATGTCTTTGATTGTGTGTTCTTGTGCACTGTGGGTAAATAATTTTGTACTGTTCTATGTAAGTGATTTAGCCCATATTACAGTTCTTAAGATTCTTAGCATATTGACTTGCCTCAGACCTAAAGCTTCATTAATTAGCGTAGTTCTATTCATAAATAAATTCTTGATATAGGTGAAATAGGGTTCATTTTTGAAATTTTTTATATGAGTCAATGATTATAAAGATAGTTATTTTAATTTACAGTTCATTCCTGGGTAAAAATGCAAACTTTTTTATGTTTTATAATTGAATTATATTTCCACCCCTGTGTTGGAAACTGTACTGGCAGTTTATTTTTAAAGTTAGTATCTTTTTAAAAATGTTTACAATTATAAAGATAATAAGGTCACCACAATCTAATTTTAGAACATTTAATTACCCCTCAAAGAAACACCATACCCATTAACAGAGATTCTTCATTTCTCTTGGCCCCCAAACTGCTAATCTGCTTTCTCTGTCTATGGATTTACATATTTTAAACATTTTATATAAGTAGAATCATGTAATATGTACTTTCTTGTGATTGGCTTCTTTCACTAAATATAATAATTCTGAGGTTCATCTGTGTAGTAAACAGGTTATCAGTATGTCATTCCTTTTGTTACATATTAATATTCCATTGTACAGATTTACCCCATTTTGTTTATCCAGTCATCAGTTGATGGACATTCAAGTTACTTTGCTCTTTTTGGCTGTTAGGAACAATATTGCTATGAAACCTTGTACACAAATGTGTACAAGGTTTTACGTGGACATATGTTTGCATTTCTCTCGGGTAACACCTAGAAGTGAACTTGCTGGGTTACATGGTTCTCTGTGTCTAACATTCAGAGGAACTTCCAGACTTTTTCAAAGAGGTTACTGTGTTACCAGCAATGTGTGGGGGTTCCATTTCCTGCACATCCTCAGCAGCCCCTGTCCTTGCCTGCCTTTTTGATGATAACCATCCGAGTGGATGTGAAGTGGTATCTCAGCGTTGTTTTGATTTGCGTTTCCCTAATGACTAATGGTGTTGAGTATCTTTTCATGTGCTCGTTGGCCATTTTTATGTCTTTCGTGTAGAAATGTCTATTCTAATTCTTTGACCATTTTTGAAATTGGGTTATTTCTTTATTTTTAAGTCATAGTTCTCTTTGTATTCTAGACACAGGCCCCTTGTAAGATATAATGATTTGCAAATACATATTTTAACATTGTTTGGGTATCTGTTCATTTCTTGATGGTGTCCTGAAAACACAAAAGCTTTTAATTTTAATGACGTTCACTTGTCATTCTTCGCTTTCATCATTTGTTCTTCTGTTGTCATATCTAAAAAAAATTATTGCCTAACCTGAGGTCACCAAGATTTACTCCTATGTTTTCTTCTAAGAGTTTTATGGTTTTCCCTCTGACATTTAGGTTTGTGAATCATTTTGAGTTCATTTTTCAGTTTGGTATGAGGTCTTAGGCATTTTTTATCAGAAAAAAAATTTCAATTTTTTATTATTCCTTTCATTTTTATCTTCTTCCTTGTTAATACTTATACTGCTAAGACTGAATATATGGCCCGGGCTGGTGTAGCTCAGTGGATTGAGTGTGGCCAAGTCCCCAGTGGAGGCCACGTGAGAGACGATACATTGATGTTTCCCTCTTTTTCTCCCTCCCTTCCTCTCTCTCTAAAAATAAATAAAATTTTGAGCCCTGGCTGGTGTAGCTCAGTGGATTGGGAGCAGGCCTGCGAATCAAAGAGTCACCGGTTCAATTCCCAGTCAGGGCACATGCCTGGGTTGCAGGCCAGTTCCCAGCAGGGGATACACAAGAGGCAACCATACATTGACATTTCTCTCCCTCCTTCCCTTCCTCCTCTAAAGATAAATAAAAATAAATAAATTGTAAGAATATATTTTAAAAAAAGACTGATTATGTACTCTTAAGTTCTCTGTAGTCACCTACTCTGGTTTGATTTTCATTTCCCTTCTTTTTCTCAGCATTTTCGAAAATGGATCAGATTGGTCCACCATGTGCTAATGTGTTTCATCTTGCCATTTCTTATCAATGTTTTTTGCAATTCTGCTTTTTTAAAAACTAGGTATAAGTATTTGACCTAAAGTTGACTAGCTTCTCTACATATTCTAAGACATTCACTAGAAATCTTCATGTGTTTATTAAATGGAAATGAATTTTTCACTATATCTGAGAAGCATATTTAATTTAGCAGTGGCATTTCTCTTCTCAAAAAGGAATTATTTTTCTAATAATTCCTGATTCTAAAACATAAGTGAGTCGTAAAGCTCAAGTCGTCTCCTGCTAGAGCTTCCTGGCTGGACCGAGGTCAGTCTGAAACTACTGAGACTAGAACACATTTCCGCACAGCGTTCCACAGTTGATAAATTACTTTCAAACACTTCATCCTTTGGCCATATGATGACAGTATATGGTACCAAAAACACCTGTTATCTAAAAACGAATTGTTTGCCCTGGCTGATGTGGCTCATGGATTGACTGCCAGCCTGAAATGATTGCTGGTTCGATTCCCAGTCAGGGCACATGCTTAGGCTGCCAGCCAGATCCCCATTAGGGGTTGTGTGAGAGGCACCACACACTGATGTTTCTCTCCCTCTCTTTCTCCCTCCCTTTCCCAGCTCTCTAAAAATAAATAAATTAAATCTTTAAAAATAAATAAAAATGATTGTTTTAGTTCATGTTCTTGAAATGTCATTTGAGTTGTGTCCTTCAACTTTCTAGAAGTCTATCTACTTTGCCAAATTGGGGAAGTTCTCCTTCATTACTTTTTTTTAAAAAATATTTTATTTATTTTTTGAGAGAGGGAAAGGGAAGGAGAAAGAGTGGGAGAGGAATATCAATGTATGGTTGCCTCTCATGTGTCCCCTGCCGGGAACTGGCCTGCAACCCAGGCACGTGCCCTGACTGGGAACCGAACCGCGATACTCTGGTTCGCAGGCCCACGCTCAATCCACCGAGCTACGCCAGCCAGGGCTACCTTCGTTACTTTTTCAAATAAGGTTTCAATTTCTTGGTCTTCCTCTTTTCCTTCTGGCACCCCTATGATTTGGATGTTGGAATGTTTAGAGTTGTCCCAGAGGTTCCTAAGCCTCTCCTCATCTTTCTGAAGTCTTGTTTTTTCATTCCATTCTGGTTGAATGTTTGTTTCTCCCTTCTGTTCCAAATCGTTGATTTGAGTCCTGGTTTCCTTCTCTTCACTATTGGTTCTCTGTATATTTTTCTTTATTTCATTTTGCATGTACTACAAAGGGCCCACCATCTAGAAGGTAATTTTGGTTTTGGGGGGGACCCCCTCATGTAACAGAACTATTAAAAAAGATTTTGGTGCCCTGGCTGGTGTAGCTCAGTGGATTGAGTGCGGGCCTGTGAACCAAAGTATCGCGGTTCGATTCCCAGTCAGGGCACATGCCTGGGTTGCAGGCCAGTTCCCAGCAGGGGACTCACGAGAGGCAACCACACATTGATGTTTCTCTCCCACTCTTTCTCCTTCCCTTCCCCTCTCTCTAAAAATAAATAAATAAAATATTTAAAAAAAAGATTTTGGTAAGATATGGATGAAAAGTTGCTGGTGATATGTGGTTGAATAAAAAAAGCAAATTGTAAAAACAAGACATTTTAAATGATCTTTTTTATTAAATAAAAAATTCTGTCTTAAATATATCTATTTAAATGGGAACTGTTTGCTCTTAGTGCCCAGTATGGTCTCTTTCTTCTGGGGGACTGATTTTCTCAGTGTCTGGTGCATGTGAATTGTGTGTTTTCTGTGCTTGTTTATAGAAATGGAGGTGTTTTGTTCAGTATTAGTCCTTCACTGGAGAAGCCTGTTTATCAGTTCTGCAGGTCTGTGACAGGTGCCCGTGGTGGGAGGTTGAAGGGGCATGTGGCGCGTGCCACACTACTCTCCAGTTCTCTTTCCAGCTCTTTGAGTACACACATTAAACGCCTTTCTACTTTCAAGTGTTGATAGTTCCTGTGCATTTCTTTTGAAATAGAGATTTCCTTGGGAATAATTAAAAGAAGGTGTTTTTTTGATTGCCTTCCCCCCCTTTATATTTGTGTTGATCTGAGTAGAAGACAGGATCACAGTGCTGTAGAGAACAAGAAATACTTTGGTGGTGGTCTGTACCAGTGCAGGAACTTGGAGAAACGGGGTGAAGTGGGAATCCAGCTGGAATAGCATCAGCTTTTCACCTTGGTCCTTCTTTCCAGGCGTTCTTTTCATTGTTTGCGCTTATCTTTTGTCTACCTTTTCTTTGTGTTTCCTCTTTCTTGAGTTCACAAACTGGTGATTAAACCTGCTATTGCCATGTAATGTACCTGTAGAAAGGTACACATAATAATCTTTTGTACAGACTGAACACATGCGTATGGCTTGTACTTGGGTAAAGAAATAGAACACACAGCCCCTGGCAACCCCCGGTGCTCCCTCTCGCCTGGACTTCATAGCAGAGTGAAGAAGTGCAATCAGTGCCTCAGAGTTTTTACATAATGTCTCATT